AAGAATTAAATCAATGGAGATCTATTCCATGTTCATGGATAAGAAGACTCAATATTGTCAAGATGTCAGTTCTTCCCAACTTGTTCTATGAATTCAATGCGATCCCAATCAGAATCCCAAAATGTTATTTTGTGGATATTGACAAAGTGATTATAAAGTTTATGTGGACAGGCAAAAGATCCAGGAGAAGAACAAAGTGTTGACACTACACCACTTCAAGACTTACTCTAAAGATGTAGTGATCAAGGGGTGCCTGGGTGGCTCAGTGGGTTAGAGCCTCTGCCTTCGGCTCAGGTCATGATCTCAGGGTCCTGGGATCGAGTCCCACATGGGTCTCTCTGCTCAGTGGGGAGCCTGCTTCCCCCTCTTTCTCTGCCCACTTGTGATCTCTGTCTGCCAAATAAATAAATAAAATCTTAAAAAAAAAAAGATACAGTGATCAAGACAGTGTAATACTAGTGAAAGGACAGAGAAACAGATCAATGGAACAGAATAAAAAGTCCAGAAATGGATCCACGTAAATAAAACCAACTGCTCTTTGATAAAGGGTCAAAGTCAATACAATGGAGAAATGATAGTCTTTCAACAAACGATGCTGGAACAATTGGATATCCATATGTAGAAAACTAAATTGAAACATCCACCTTACATCCTTTACAAAAACAGAAAATGGATCACAGACCTAAATGCAAAATGTAAATTTTAAAAACTCCTAGATAATAGTATAGAAGATCTAGGTGATCTTGGGTATGGCAATGACTCTTTAGATACAATGCCAAAGGCACAGTCCATGAAAATAATAACTGATGAGCTGGACATAAAAACTGAAAACTTCTGCACTGTGAAAGACAGTGTCAAGAGAATGAGAGACAAACCACAGCCTGGGAGAAAACATTTGCAAGAGACACATATGATTAAGGATTATCATCCAAAATTGTCAAAGTTTAATAAGAAAATAAACCAACCAATTAAAAAAAAATGAGCCAAGACCTTAACAGACACCTCACCAAAAAAGATACATGTGAATTACATGTTATTTTACAAATAAGCATGTGAAAAGATGTTCCACATCATTTGTCATCAGAGGTTTGCATATTAAAACAACAGTAAGATACCACTACACACAGGGGTGCCTGGGTGGCTCAGTGGGTTAAGCCTCTGCCTTCAGCTCAGGTCATGATCTCAGGGTCCTGAGATCAAGCCCCGCATCAGGCTCTCTGCTCAGCGGGGAGCCTGCTTCCCCCTCTCTCTGCCTGCCTGCCTCTCTGCCTGCTTGTGATCTCTGTCAAATAAATAAATAAAATCTTTAAAAAAAAGATACCACTATACACATACTTAATGGCCAAAATCTGGAACACTATCAATACTAAATGTTGGCAAACATGTGGAGAAATGGGAACTCTGATTCATTGCTGGTGGGGATGCAAAATGGTACAGGTGCCTTTGAAGACAGTTTGACAGTGTCTTATAAAATCAAACATACTCTTCACATACAACGCAGCCATCATACTCCTTGGTATTTATCCAAAGGAGTTTAAAACTCTGTCTACACAAAATCCTGCACACGGATGTTTTTACAGCTTTATCCATAATTGCCAGAACTTGGAAGTAACCTTGAAAAACCTGAAGATGTCCTTTGGCAGGTGAATGGATAAATAAACTATGGTACATCCAAATAATGGGATGTTTTTCAGCCCTAAAAATAAAGAAGTCCCCAAGCCATGAAAAGATATGAGTCATTAAAAAAAAAAAAACACACATTCAGGAAACTTAAATGCACGTTACTAATGAAAGATTCAATACATTCATTCATAGACTCAGGACACTCATTAGCAGACTTCAAATTACTAATGAAATTACTAGTGAAAGAAGCCAGTCTGAAAAGCCCACATCATGTATGCATCCAGATATAGGACATTCTGGAAGCTAGAGAGACCGTACAGAGATCAGTGGTTACGAGGGGTTGGGAGCTTTGGAGAGAGAACAGGCAGAGTCCGGAGGATTTTTAGGACAACGCAATTACTCTCTGGGATAACATGACTGCACATGTCAGCATATATTTGTCCAAACCCACACAACGTACAACACCCAGAGTGAAGCTGTAAGGTAAACTGCGGACTTCGGGTATCATTGTAGGATCGTCAATTTTCCATGTATTTCACTTAGTGGAGAGTGTTGATGAGGCCGTGCATGTGTGGAGGCAGGGGATACAAGAAATCTCTCCATCTTCTGCTCACCTTTGCTCTGAACCAAAAACTGCTCTCAAGAACAAAGTCTATTTATGATCCATAGAACATGTGTTTATTATACGCATATATATGGACTTTTTTTTTAAAGATTTTATTTATTTGTCAGAGAGAGAGAGAGAGAGAGCACAGGCAGATAGAGTGGCAGGCAGAGGCAGAGCGAGAAGCAGGCTCCCTGCTGAGCAAGGAGCCCGATGTGGGACTCCATCCCAGGACTCGGGGATCATGACCTGAGCCGAAGGCATCCGCTTAACCAACTGAGCCACCCAGGCGTCCCTATATATGGACTTTTAATTAAAGGAGGTACGAGTACCTCCTGCAGCATGGATGAGCCTCGAAGACATTATTAGGAAGGAAAAGGAGCCAGTCACAAAAGCCCACATGCTGTTTGGTTCTCTTTCTAGGAAAGTTCTAGAAGAAGCAACTTTATAGAGAGAGAGTGAATCAGTGGTTGGCTCGAACTGGGAGGAGGGCCTGAGGAGAAATGGGGATGGGGCTTCTTTTCCAGACGATGGAAGTGTTCTACAGTGATGTGGCGCTGTTGCAGGACTCTGGGAACACGCCGAAACCCCACACTTTATATGGGTGAACTGCGTACTGTGTGAACTACATCTCAATAAAGAGGTATTTTTAGAAGGGGGGGGTAGAGGGAGTAAGCCTGAAATGGTCCACTGCCCACCCCCCATGGTGTGCAGGGGATGTGTGTCCCCCAGATGCGACCCCTTCTGTCGTGGGTGCCTGGATCCCTGGCCGTCGGGTGGCCACCTCCAGCTCCATGTTCTGCAGCTGCCTTGGTCTCCAGGCCCAACTCGTGGTCTTCATTCTCTCGTGGCAAAAAAAAAGCTTAATTATGGGCATAAAAACCAGCAGGGGGGCGCCTGAGTGGCTCAGTGGGTTAAGCCTCTGCATTTGGCTCAGGTTGTGATCTCAGGGTCCTGGGATCGAGCCCCGCATCGGGCTCTCTGTTCAGCAGAGAGCCTGCTTCCCAATCTCTCTGCCTGCCTCTCTGCCTCCTTGTGATTTCTGTCAAACAAACAAATAAATAAAATCTTTAAAAAAAAAAACAAAAACAGCAGGAACGGGGTGGAGTGTATCCATCAACCCCATCATCCTTTCTGGGGACACCCATTCCGCGTTTTTTTCTGGGCATAGTACTTTCGGGGTTCACTAGGGAAAGAGCCGAGGCACTGTGGAGAGATGTTCCAAATACACAGAGACATATTCGGAGACACTAACAAAAATGGCATATAGAGGACAGTCTACTTTTTGTAAAAACCACAAAAAAAATCAGTTTTGTTTTTTTTTATATACGTAGCATTCCTTCACTTGATCAATAAAGACGTCATAGCCTCGTTGGGCCTTGATCTAGGCACTGCAGGGCCAGTGGGAACCGAGGGGAAAGACCCCAGGTCGGGAGCGAGAGTCCAGGGCTCATGGGCATGGCAGGCTCCTCCTGCTCCCTAGGGGAGGTGGCATGGCAGTCCCACAGCCAGCATGCAGGGGCAGCTCAGGGCCCAGAGGCGCCATACAGGCCTTGATGTCCACAGGTCACACGGCAGGCGGACAACAGGGTGATGAACCATTTGCAAAACAGAGCACAGGGGTGGGGGGCGCTGCAGAGGGAGATTTTTTCTCTTTTTTTCTGTTTTCTGGAGAGCTCCCCTGAGTAACTTTGTCCTCAAAGAGAAGCATCATTTCTTGAGTCTTTGCAGGTCTGAAGAAAATGTCCTTCTGTTGCCTTCGCTGGGGATCAGCAGTTGGGTCAGGTAGAGAACGCTTAGGTCAGAAACTTTCCTCTGGGAGAAGTCACAGACCTTCTCAACTTCTGTCTTCTTCATGGGTCACAAAAATCTTAGGTAAAAAAAAAATCGTAAGCCACCAGCATGTGCATCCACAGGAGACTGGTTAAAGTCATTAGAAGACGGCCAGCTGGTGGGATACTACCAGTAAAAAGGAACAAGGAAGTTGCTTTTTTATGATATGGAAAGATCTCTAATATATGCTAAGTCAAAAATTTTAAAACTATGTGCATAAGGGGTCTAGGGTAAGGGGTGGGGGGAGATATACATGTATATACTCAGAAATGCATAAATTATCTCTGTAGGGATACAGAAGAACCTAGAAACATTTCTTGCCTCTGTAGAAAGAAATGGGGCAGTGAGGGCAAGGCTGTTATGTTAGGGAGACCTACTTTAAAAAAAAAAAAAGGCAGAACATTTGAAGTCTATTGAATTTGAATCTTGGGGGTGTTCTATTGAGAACTTCTGTGCTGTCCTTTAATTTTACTCAAAAATCAGAATAAATATCATGACTAAAAGCGCTGACACACACTTTGCTGGAAGAGATCACACAGCCAGTCAACAATCCTCGTTGCGGGCTCTGCTCCCAGGTGTCCTGAGGGCCAGCCACAAAGCCAAGCATCTCAAGCTGATCTGTTGCTTCTGGACCTAACTGCTTCATGGGTAGGGAGGGCTCCTTCATTGTCCCTGAGGTATGCACTTGGCAATGTCACCACGGGGACATTTGGAAGGCTCTGCCAGAACCACAATCTGGGTGGGGTCAGGATCCCCCACTTTGGAACACTATCCTCCCCCAGGACAGCCTTGTTTTCGCAGAGACAGCAGCCCAGGGGCTTCACTGGGGGTCCCTGGCAAAACCAAGTGGCTCCCCACGGCTCCCCTTAGCCAGCTCACTGCGACCTCCCACGTATGGGGTTCAAGTCTGCGTTCCTCACCCCCACCCCTGTGGTCTGACCTTGGAGAGGGTCTCCTGGTCGCCCCAGAACCTCTTCTCAGACTTCGGGTGCTCCTCGGGTGGTGGAGAGTCCTTGCTGACCTCTAGGGGGTCAAGGGGAGCCAGCAGCCGGTTCTGGCGCGCCTCCAAAGTCAACAGCTTGAAGCGGCCACAGGCCCTGATCACAGCCGGCAGCTTGCGGAAGAGGGGCTCAAGGTCGCTGGAGGGCATCGAGGGCAGCTTCACTCTACGCAGCTCGGACACTGTCTTCAGGTCATCATCCAGGGATTCCGAGCACAAGGGGGTGGACGGCGGTTGGGAAGCCATCTCCGAGCCCAGCCTGCTGGTGGCCGGCAACCAGCACCCAGCCCGGCTGGAACCGTGGCGCCGTGCGCCTGCGCCCTGCGCCCGTCTCCGCAGAATCACGTGCCCTCCCCGGGCGCTGCGATCCCCCTGCGTCCTCTCCACGCCGAGCACGCTCACTCCCAGAAAAACGGGGTTTGAGTCCAGGCATAAAAGGGTTGAGGCCAAGCGTGTGAAACCAGCAGCCCCATCCCCACGGCCTCCATTTGGCTCTTCCTGGCTCCGTCTCCCAGGATGGTTTCTGGGTAGCCCTCTGCTTGTGCGGGGACTCCTGGCCAACCCACTTGGTGTCAACAACAGAGAAATGGACACTAAGTTACGGAATGGGCCCTGGATGAATTCAGATGCAGCTGTCCGGGGCGGGGACACACAATATATAAGAGCATGAAGGAAATATCTGTCACGGCTGTTAATGACAGGGAACAAATGTCACCTCTAGCCGGGTAGCAGCGTCACTGACAGAAAAAGACTGGGTGGGGACACCTGGGTGGCTCAGTTAAGCGTCTGCCTTCCGCAGGGGTCATGATCCAACGGTCTTGGGATCAAGCCCCACATGGGGCTCCTTGCTCAGCGGGGAGCCTGCTTCTCCCTCTCTCTGTAGCTCTCCCTGCTCATGCTCTCTCTTGTTCTAATAAATAAATAAAATCTTTGAAAAGAAAAATATTTTTTCTTTTTGGATATTCCCAAATACTAAGGGTTATCATCTCTGGGTAGTAGAAGTAGAAGCGGTTTTCTCCTTCTTTCTACTTTGGAAATTGTTCTGCTCTTTCTATAATGTCACTTTGAACCCCTGCACTTTTCTCAAAGATCTCATCAGTGCTGATGAGGCAGCACCCAAGCGGGGACCCAGGGCTGCAGAGCAAGGACCTGGAGACTGTGGGACCCAGGGTGTGGGCGCGCACTCCCTGGCTCCTGCTCTTGGAGACTGTCTGGGACACTTTGGTGACATCTACCCGGAAAGGCTGAGGCCACCCGCTAGGACTGATGCTGGTGCTGGGCCACCCACTGGGCTCCTGGCCACCACCACCCACCATGAGAGGCAGGAGCCCTGTGCCTGAGAAGCAGGGAAACCACCACCTCCTTCTCTCCCATAAGCCCTTAATTAAGTCCAACTGTCCTTATCTGGACTCGGCTTTCTTCATGAACAAAATCAGAGAGAGCCCTTCATTTCTCATTTCTTTTTAAAAGTTTCAGGAAATAAAAAAATCAAGAAGAAAATAGAAAAATTCCATTTTAATTAAACTGTACAGTCTGAATTATTTCCTCTGACACTAACTAAAGTTAAAAATAGAAATCAATTTCTGCAACCTTTCAAGGCAGCCTTTGAAATGTCAAGGTCTTAAAAATTATTTTACAGCATGAATTTACATATAAATACAATCTGTACAATGTATTAAGCGAGCAATCAATGGGTTCCCATCACGGAGGAGATCTGGTACTGGGACAGGCCACGGCAGAATCCAGTTACTGCTTCCTTAGTGGAAGACTTTTCAGCCTGGAAAAAGAAATAAAGGGGAAAGGACAATTAGGGAAGAACAGAAAGCCAGACAGCTCAGTGGGGGCCAGGCATGCCAGACCTCCCCGAGTCCTGGTGGCACACAGGTACCCACAGAACACAGAGGAGGGCCACAGGCCATGGAAGCATCATTTCATCTGCCTTCTTCAAATGCTTCTCTGTTGCCCCCAGAACACACGGGGAGACTCACACCCCACACCTTGTATGAGGACCTGTTTATAAAAGCAAGTTCTGATCCTGGTTTTACCTATCTCATGTAGGAGCTCTGGGAAGGAACTGGGGAGGGGGGGAAGAAAAAACATGTCTGTTTCCCGAGCAGACAGTCTTCAACCTCGGCTTTCAACGCATCATGGCATTCATCGAGTAGGGCTGGGCCACACTGGCTCTAGATCCTTCCTCGACAGCCCCAGAGTAAAAAACCAGATGTCCCCAACAAGAAAAGAGATGAATACTCTGTGGTCCCATAAAGGCACACCCCGCAGCAACGAGGATGAGGATGAGGACGAGCCAGCCACCGCTGCTGGAATCACGTGGGGGACTCCCACAAGTCCATGCAAGAGTCCGACTCCACAGTTCCTTTAGGTTAAGTCCAAGCGCTAGGGTAATCAGCGGCGGCAGAGGCCAGTAGAGGGGCTAGCTGTGGGAACGGGGGTAGGCAGGCTAAGCGGGAGGAGACACAAGTGGCCGTGGGCTGCTGGGGTGTCCCTTGATCGGGTGACAAGAATGCATGCAGCTGAAGCGTATGGTCTGTGCACATATATGTATGTGTGTGCACTACAGCATTTACTGAACTGTCGGATTCTAGGTCTATGAAGTTCTAGACTGGGCAAGACAAATTGACAGAGACAGCAAATAGGCCGGTGTCTTGGGGGAGATGGGTGGAGACAGCAGACTGCGACTCCACTCTGAACCAAGCTTCACGGTCCCAGAAGAAAAGCACTGGGGCCCTTCCCGAGAGTGACACTCCATGCCAGGTGCTGGGAATGAAGACGAGACCCCTGTGGTTGTGAGCCTCCCGCCACCCCTTCTAGAAGATGGGTGCAGACAGGCAACACACAGAGGGGAGCGAGACACAAAGGACGGGGGGCCCTCCAGGCTCCCGGGGGAGAACCTAGGAGGCTCACGGTCGAGGAGCGGTGGGGACCATCCCTGTAGCAACAAGGTTCAGATAAGGGCACGCCACACTTCTGACCCTCCCTCCCTTGGAGAGAGGTGCTCTCAGGGGTGTATGAACTCTCCAGCCCTCTTCCTGTGCAAGGATGTACATATATGTGCACGTAGGGAAAGCCAAAGGCCTGAGGACATTTGACCATCCACAGCACCGCCTGTATACGCTGTTCCGCAGCTCTGGATCTCTTGACAGTAAGTTTTATATCCAATCAGTACAGAACTGTGTGCCCAGTTTTCCACCTGCCGCACAGTGCCCACAGCAAGCCCCTGCTCCGGCCCTCCCACCACGCCCTCCAGAAGGGCACGGACAGGCTTCCCCTGCAGGAACAACTCATCAGATGGCCCCAGATGCTTAAGGGCAAGACCCTCCGGTGTTGGTGAGGTTCCATGGGCCTGACCACGTGACCCGGCTTCCCTGGGCCTGGCTGTCCCACCTACGAGACAAGGGGCCCCAGGTGTCTGCCTCACAGGGGTGCATGCAGATTAAATGAGCCATGCCCGGGGTGCGCTCCTCCCCTGCCCCCCCCCAACCAAATGCTGGTGCGCAGGACGACAGGGAGACAGGAGCGGGCAGAGCCACTGTAGGAGGCTTGGGATGAAACTGAAATGCTCCTCTCCTTTGTATTTTTGAGTCATGGGAACGTATCGTTCATTCTGAAGAAGTAAATGGAATAGAATAAAGGGGTGGCGCTTGTATTTCCAGACACAAGATATGCTTACAAGGTCAGAGTAATTAAAACAGGGTGGACAGAACAGTATCAAATGGCTAAAAAACCAGAGAAGAGCGGCCCTCAGGTGGCTCAGGTGGTTAAGCATCTGCCTTCACCTCAGGTCATGATCCCAGAGTCCTGGGATCGAGCCCTCCTTGCACAGCAGAAGTCTGCTTCTCCCTCTCCCTCTGCTCCTCCCCCTGTTCATGCTCTCTCTCGTTCTCTTTCTCAAATAAGTAAATAAAGTCGAAAAAAGAAAAAATGAAACCAGAGTAGGGAATGGAGCAGGCCTGCACAGGGACTGAGTACCTGACCAAGATATTCTTCCTTTAATGAGCTGGTTCAGCGTGTAGCGCTGATATGGCCAGGGCTCACCCGTGCCTCTCCCCCTTCACCCTGAGCCCGAAGCTGGACTTCCCCTGCCCAGCCCCATGGTGGCCAGGCCATGCGGCAGTAAAGGCTGCGACATCCAGGCAGAACCACAACCACCCCCAGCGCCACCCTCCACCCATTCCCTCCTAGGAGGGCTGTGCACTGAAGCTGAACAAGCTGGGGTCCTGAGTACCTTTCTTGGTTTTCTTTTATTAATTATCCATCTCTTTTCTTTAATTAATTAATTTTTATTTTAAGTACTCTCTACACCCAGTGCAGCTCCCAGTGAGCTCAAACATACAACCCTGAGATCAAGAGTCATATGCTCTTGAGCCAGCTGGGCGCCCCCCTGGTTTTCCTTACCCTCTACTGTGCCACTGGGATGCCAGAATTCTTCCTCATTGGCACTAGTTCACTCTCCTGACTAATACAACCAGCTATCCATTTGGGGAAAGGGAACCTAGATGCCTACTTTACTCTGGTCACCAAAAAAAAAAAAAAAAAAAAAAATCCAAACAGGTTAAACAAAAAACTATAAAAGCCGGAGACTAGCTACATACATATATAACATCTTGGATTAGGGGAGGCCTTTAGGAGACAAAAATATGAAACATAACCCCCCTCCACCGCAAACATCAGTAAAACTGAGGGCACCAAAAATTAGAGCTTCTGTACAACAAAGACAGTTAAAATCCACATGATAGGTAACACACTAAAACACAGGCGGTTCATATCCGGAATTATTCTTTCTTAATTCCTAAAAATCAGTAAAATAGTACCTTACTTGACTGACACAAGTAAAACAATGTAACAGAAAACACAACGCTGTGCGAAGAATGTGAGCAAGTTACTCACAAGACAGCATACGGGCAAAGGCTGTCCTCCAGCCACTCAAGCCCAGTACTACCCCCAGAAACACAAATTAGAAGTCAGATGCCATTCTTCGCCCATCGTGCTGGCAAACATTTCTGAACTGTTTGTAACTGAGGTAATAACAAGGTGAAGTGGATTCGGCCACTTCCGGAAGTAATCTGGCAGTATTTCTTCATTCCGCATGCTCATCCTCGGTTGATTTACGCCAGATAAAACTGTATTACTTATTTTAAAAATGCGCAGCAACAAAACGTGTGTGTATGCATGGTGTGTGTGTGTATGTGTGTGAAACACTGAACAAAAAAGTCTTGAAATACACAGGAAGAGAGAGGTTTGAGGAACTGCTCAAGAACCACTTG